CAGAATGAGTTAAGATCATTGATCAACTAGAACATCGACCTCACCTGTCTGTTGTTTTTAACAAAATGTTTATTCCTAGTCAAACCAGAGAATTAGACTCTCTAGATAAAATTTCAAAGCTGGAAGAAAGAGAGTAGAGGGCACATTTAGTCTACCTTCCCTCATTTTACAGATAAAAGAGGCCCACAAAGATTTTTGCAAGATCACAAAGGTGACTGGTAGCTAATCTAAGATAATGACCAAGCTCTTCCAAATCCAACTCCTTTTTCTTACTTTACCCAACTTTTCTTAATATTTAAGTTGTGTTGGAATATAATATAAAATCATCTAAGGCACTTTTTATGTATCTTTTTTTCTCATTAACTGCTTTTCAAAGAAATATGCTGTGATTTAGACATGTAGTCTTTTTTTTTAGCAACAGGATCTCACTCCGCCACCCAGGCAGGAGGACAGTGCCTTGATCATGGCTCACTGCAGCCTCAAACTCCTGGGCTCAAGTTATCCTCCCACCTCAGCTTCCTCAGTAGCTGGGACTACAGGCTTATGTCCCCACACCTGGCTACTTTTTTAAACATTTTTGTTTGTTTGTTTGTTTGTAAAGATGAGAGTCTTGCTATGTTGTCCAGGCTGGTCTTGAACTCCTGGGCATAAACCATTCTCCTGCCTCGGCCTCCCAAAGTGCTGAGATTTTAGGTGTGAGCCACTGGGCCCAGGCTTAGTCATATTTGAAATTGGTTTTTGATTGTATGATAATGTGTATAGGTAACATATTCCCATGGATCAAAAGTAACAAGATGTAAAGGGGCATACAGTAGAAGGTCTCCCTCTTATCCCTGTATCCAGTCACTAGTTTTCTGCCCAGAAAGCAACCAGTTTATCAGGTTTTTTGTGTATAATCACTTTAGAGAGATGCCAAAAATATAGTATCCCTTTAAACCATTTGTAACTTATGTTTTTTTTTCCACTTTAACTGTGTCATGGAGATGATTCTCTGTCAGTACATTAAGACCATTTCATTCTCTTTTATGGTTGTATTGTACTTTACTCCATCATACAGATGTGTTATCATTTATTATATTAGTCTCTATTGATACATATATTTAGGTTGCTAACAGTTTTTGGTTCTTAATGGCAGTATTTTAGTAAATAACCTCGCACATTCACATGTGTACATAGGTAGGATAAACTCCTAAAAATAGAATTACTTCTTTCACCCTTTTTAAAGGAATTGTTTAATTAACCTCCAGAGTTGTACACGTTTCCATTCCCCTCACCATTATGTGACAATGAACCTTTTCCCATTCCCCCACTAACAGTATGTTATCCACCTTTAGCTTGTTTGTATCTGAAAGGTGACAAGTGGTATCTCAGTTTGGTTTTACTTGCTTTTGTCTTAATATGCATGAGGCTAAGTGTATTTTATATAAGAACCTGATTTACCTTTTCAGAGGTTTCTCTACCCGTATCTTTTGCTGCTTTTCCTGTTGAATTGTTCTCTTATTAATTGTTGAAACTCTCTCTGTGTTAGGGAGATAGTCTTTTGTTCATGGTAGGAGCGATACACTTTTGCCCAGTTTGTCTTTTACCTTCCCTGTGATGTTTTGTGTTTGTTTTTTTTGGCCATGTCATTCACATTATTTTCATGTAGTTAAATTAGTCAGTGTTTCTAAATCATCTTTTTGGTTTGTGTTATACTTAGATACAATCTTCCACTCTGAGATTAGTTTTAAACATCTCTCATATTTCTTATAATACCTTTACATTTAAATATTTGATTCATTTGAAATTGATTCTGATCTAAGACATGAGAAATGCCTTCAGCTTTATTTTTTTTTTTCCAGTTGGTGGTTGTTCCAACCAACGTGTTCCAAAACATTTATGAAGTAATTTTTTTCCCTCCTTATTTAGAATAATCCCATTATCATATACTGTATTCTTCCATGTTTTGAGTCAATTTCTTGACTTTCTATGCTATTACACTGGTATATCTGTAGACATTTGCTACTAGTATGTGTTTTAATTATTAGCATAATACTTTTTAATATCTAAAGGGCTGATTCCCTATCACTGCAGGATGCATTTTTAAAGCAACAGCATAATTTGTTTCCCATTTATATTTACGTAATAACTTACATGATTTATATTCATATGAATCACATTTTTTCTCCTCCTGTTGCTTTCCCCATGTGTAGTATCAGAAAGCTGGTAAATTCCAAAATAATGAGATACAAGTTCAGCTGAGATTATGAGGCCGCGCTTCCCATAATTGTCAATGAATGTGTTTTGGATCTTATAAAGGAGGACATCTTTAGACAAAGGTTCTTAAGCAGCAAATGCTCGATGTTTACTTGGACCAAGGTCCAAAGGGAAGAGAGTACTGTGAATAGAGGGAGGGAGTGTCCCTGAAATCATATGGCACATGTATGTTTAAATTAACAAAGGATAGACTGACGATTTCAAAGGTTCTGTAGCTTTTACACTCTGGATTAACTGTAGTTCCTTAATGTGTTGGAAATAGAACTTTCAGAAGTTAAGCCAGTGAGGCAAAACACACAATAATTCCCTTCTCCTAGGCTGACCATAGTTTTATGAAAATGAATTTTTAAGTATCTTTTCTTTGCATGAGGCTTCTTGGCAAGAAATAAAATCTGTATAATGCATTACCTCTGGCTTTTTCCTTAAAGAGCTCAAGGATAGACATATGGATAATAGCTTAAAAATATAAATATGGTCTTTCCAGTCATAGAAACCTTCCGATCCAAGAGGTGCTTTTCCCACTTTCCAAAAAATACAGGGCTATATACACATACCCATAAGGCACCAAGGCAAAATACATGGTATTTGACGCTAAAAAAAAACCCACTGAACTTTTCTTGAGTATTGCAGCCCTGTGATCAGACAGAGTGACTTGTAGTCAAATCTAGATGCCAAGTTGCTGTGTCACCTTCTAGCCAGTAAGTCCTGTAACTAAGCATTTTTGTTTGGTAAAATTATAGAAGGGATGCTATTGGGTAAGATATTTTGTTCTATTTTGGTACCTATAGTTCGTCTAGGAAAATGGCTGTCACTTGGTTTTCTCACATACTTACTTCATTTGTCTGTTTGAATGTGTGCACAGGGAGAAGTGAGTATTTATAGTGTCTTTCTAAGGAACAGTTATCCACTCCCACCCCAGGATAGACTTTCCTGATCTCTAGCAGTCTCTTTAATGAGTCCACACTGGGGGAGGCATGATACTTTCTGGTTTATGCACATATATAGGTTGACAGTGTGGAATTTATGAATGCTTCATTCGGAAAGGCCACTGCCAATATAGGATTCGTTTTGAAAAGAGTTGTCTAAGCAGCCTTCTTTTACCAAGCATGCAAATATGAACTTGTTAACTTTATTGGGATAAGACTTACAGATAGTAATATAAGGATGACAAGTTATATAGTCAAAATCATCATAAATAGTCTAAGTAATACAGCGATAAGGCCTGTGTCAGATGTCATTCATGGAGGTAAAGATATTTTTATGAAGTGGAGAATTGTGGAATACTTGTTACATTTCCTTGATAAAGTGTAAGTCCTTCAAAGTTAAAAGCAGTTCTTGCTCATCTTCGTATTTCTAACACAGTACCTAGCACTTGTTTGTTGAATGAATGAATGAGTGAATGAACTGCATTCCTTAGATTTTTTGAAATGAAGAGGTTAAAATGTTTCCTGGAAATAGAAAATGTACATGCACGCCCATCGTTGCTGCTCTACTTTGATTGAGAAGGATGCCTTAGGATCCCTTCTCCTCCGGTAATCTTTTAATGGAGTAGGTGAGAGAGGTTTTAAAATGTTCACTGAATGGCTGGATATGGAATTACAGCAGTGGACTACAAAGTCCGCTTCGTCCCCACTCATTTTTTAATTCCGTTGTAGAGAGGAGGGATAAATGGTGGAATAAGACATTCCAGAGCATTGTGACTAAATGAGCTATCACCAGAAGAAATCAACCAAAGGAGCATTTGGGCACAAATTGAAGAACGCCACCAGGGCTGAGTCTGCACTGGAGACATCCCATTAAAACTGCAACATGCTTATTTTTGCGTTGCCATAAGGATAATCTGTTTTGAAGAAAGTGTTCCCATACATACCCCTACCACTAGGTTATAAATTCTGCATTAGACTCAAGGTTTCTGGTTACTTTGTTTAAACAAGTTTATAACTAAATATTGAGACTTTTCTCAAATAGGGCGTGTTTGAATTTTAGAGCTGGCAGGGAGCCTATGGCTCAGGAAATTGAGTGGCTTCTCCAATTCTGTGCCAGAGATAGGACTTGGGATTTGGTTTTTCTAATTCTCCAAATAGGGCTTTTCCACCGCACGGTGTTGTAGAAAGCCATTTTTTAAAAGTTGTGATCCTGGAGCATTTTGCTCCCAGAAAGTTTTTTAAAAATGATGCATACTTGAAGTCAGGAATTATAAACTGTGGCATGTGTAACAAAATCCAGCCTGGTTTTGTATATAAAGTTTTATTGGAACACATTTACACCCATTCATTTATATATCATCTACGATGCTGCAATGGCAAAATGAGTGATTGCATCAGAGACCATGTGACCTGCAAAGCCTAAAATATTTATTTTTTGGACCTTTATAGAAAAAGTTGACTAGCCCTTAGCATAAAGTAAGGATGAAAAATTACCTTAAAAGTTAACATTACCAATTTTTAGTAAATTGGAAGTAAATAGGATTTCTGAGAAAGCAAAAAGGTTAGCTTGTTGTTGAGAGATATAGATAATCTATACATAAAAAAAACTAAAATCCCTACTTTCATTAAACAAACAAACACAAAAAACCCTGGGTTTCTAAGGAATCTCTGAGCACTTAGACTCAGAGATTTTAGCTGCCACAATGAAACCTGTGACTTAAATAGCATTGACTTAAGATGGGAAATGCCTCAGACTGTCATTTATGTTGTACTAACCCTGATGGAACATGAATACTCACCAAATGTCCTTCTTGGCAGGTGGAATGGATCCAACAGCAAGTGGTAAAAAAGCGGACAAAGAGGGATTATGACTTCAGTCGTGCCCAGTCTACCTATTTCAATGATCCCAAGTGGCCCAGCATGTGGTATATGGTAAGCTTGCTGAGGAAGCCTGGCCTAGGGCCGTGTCATCCAGTTTTGTATTGTATGCAGAGAATCTACTGGACTTGGGAGGACACAGAAATACTGACCAGGGATTATTTCCTGTCTTAATACCCACCATTTGAGATTGGTTAATGGCCTATGATGCTGTCTGGATTTTCTTTCTAACTTAGCTTGTTGATTACAATAAAGAGAAAAAGAAGGGAGCTCCGATTCACAGAAATTCTGTTTGAGAGCTTACTTTGTGCAGTAGCTTTCTAAGTTTGGGCCAGAGGATAGAAAAATATGCAAAGGTGCACACACCCTTAGACCTATCAATAATCATGTTCACCTCTGTTACACATTTACTCCACCTTAAAACTAGTCTGGCTAATGCATACTGGTTCTTGAACATCATTGAAATGACTCTACTGATAAGTAACAGACCCCAAACTTATGTCATCTAAAATGTATCCTCTCACTTTAGGTAATAACTTTGTAAAAGTAGACCAGGAAAAGAAATCATTGGAAAGTGTTCGATTTGGTAGTTCATGGTTCAAGCAAAAGATTTTTCAGTGAAGGAAACTTACTTAACATGTTGGGAAGAGTAATCCACCAGTTCACTTGGCATGGCCTCCTTTGAAAACATACATCTCTAATCTCTTAGGGATTTTAGGTCGTGATCCCTGAGAAATGAATTTGAATACGTTACGTACTCTTACTCATGAAATCCACATGTCACCAATTTGCTCTATGATGTGTAAATCACCCTTTTTTCTGTCTTGAAAGTTTTTATGGCTAAACTTTGCCAGCATATTATTCACTATACTACTTTAGCTGTTGTATTCCTGTTTTAGTTTTTGTATTCCTGTTCTTGCTTTTTTACAAAATGTCTCCAAACTGAAAGAAGGACAGAATCCATAGCCTTCCCATAGCTGCCTCACGCTTTCCTGGCTCCTTGCCTCCCATTCCTTCTGCTTGGAGTATGTTCACTGCCCTTCCCCACCTCCTTGGGGCAGGATCCCCTGTCCTCAGAGCCCACACCTGAGGCTGACTGCTCTGGAAGCCCTTCCCTATGTTCCTGTCTTTTATCATTTTCCCTCCTCTCGTCTCTTGGACCCTCTCCCAGCTGCTCATGGCATCCATCATGGCACTTTACACTGTAGTTATTCATATTGTTTTTTAACCTTCCCTGTTGGACTTGGGGGTCACTTGATGGCAAGCTCTGCATCTTGATCCCTTTTTATATCTCCCCAGAAACCTAACCCAGCACCTTGTAAGGCTGGGAATTTGTGCTTATTTTGAGATGGGTGAATGTGGCTAGTATTTCTCTTAATTTCCCTTTTCTTGATCTTACCCAGAAACGAAAGGTTATGGAAATATTTCGGACCCCAAACAGAATTTTACACAGAAATCTTTCTCATGTTTAAGGGGAAAAAAGGGAGGAATCTTAAAGCTAAGTTCAAGGGAAGGTGGGAATCTAAGCATCATTTCGGTGGGAATCCCCTGAGGGACAGTAAGATAGGTGGCAGCTTATTAGCCCCAACACCCACAGAGAGTGAACCCCAAGGGAAGGCATTGGAGGGAGCACTGGCAGGAGCTAAGGAGCTTTGTCTGCACTGACAAAATGATAAGAATGTAATGGGATTAAGATATAGGAGGAAGCAAAGCTGTCTCTACACCCCTGTTTATAAGACCAGGTTGAGAGAGACCCTCTTTGCTTGTTCTCGTAGGAAAGAGCCAAATTGCTGTCTATGCATGATCCACTGGACAGTAGAACTATCTGGCACCCTTCCCTGATCCTCTCATCACCCCAGCAGGGCAGACTGCACTCTAGCAGGAGCCATGACCAAGGCTTTAGCCCTTTGGCTAGCCTGGTGGCTGAAGGTTTCAGTGCCTGCATAGTGAGATCTTGTCACTCTAAGAACCACTATTATTTCATGTCTTTCTGACATGAGGAAAGACTGAGAAAAGAGCTTTTGATTGACCATTTAACATGTTGGGTGTTTTACAACACGTATTTGATGATAATATTACAAATAGGTAACATTTATTGAGCACTTACTATGTGCCAGGCAGTGTGCTAAGTCTTTATGAGGTTTTTGTTTTGTTTTTTTTTTTTTTCTTTTTGGAGAGAGTCTCGCTCTGTCAGGCTGCAGTACAGAGATGTGGTCTTGGCTCACTGCAGCCTTGACCTTCTGGGCTCAAGCAATCCTCACATCTCTGCCTCCCAAATAACTGGGACAACAGGTGTGCACTACCATGCTTGGTTAATTTCTGTAGTTTTTGTAGAAGAGGGGTTTCACCGTGTTGCCCAGGCTGATCTTGACCTCCTAAACTCAAGTGATCCTCCCACCTTAGCCTCCTAAATAGCTGGGACCACAGGTGCATGCCACCATGCTTGGTTAACTTTTAAACTTTTTGTAGAGACATGGTCTCACTGTATTGCTCAGACTGGTCTTGAACTCCTGGGCTCAAATGATCCTCCCACTTGGCCTCCAAAGTATTGGGATTACATGTGTGAGCCACTGTGCCTGACCATGAATGCTTTTCTAATGCAAGTGGAACAAATGCATGCGTTAAAATTGGCCCTAATTTTAAAATGAGAAATCTGTGAGGCTTATGAAATTTAGTTAACTTACCTAAGATCACCAAGCCTGAACGTGGTGGAGATGCCAAGGCAGGCAGGTTGATGCAGAGTCCATGGGATTAGCACAGCATCCTGCCTCCACCCTTCTGCTATTTACGGGTGCTGTGAGGAAGCCTCTGATCTATCCAGAGAGAAATGACTGAAACACACATGACAGAATGGTGGGTCCCCTGTAGGATGAACAAAGTATCTTGAGGACAACCAAAGTACTTTACAGATTCCTGTTAAATGATTACTTTCCCTTAATAAAAGGGATGGGAAGCAGGTTCCATACCTTATGCTTCTCTGTTAGGACAGAACGAGAGGCAAGACTCTCAGATCTGCAAAGCTGGATGCCCATCCCCATTGCTTCACTTAGAATCTCCGTGATTGAATTGGTCCAGCCCTCCTCAACTGTAACATGAAAGTGCCTAGCTCTTATGTATGAGTGGTGTTTTGCTGCATAACAAAACTTAGTTTTGTTAGAACTTAGTTTTTAAAACAATTATCTCCCAGCCTGGGCAACACAATGAAGCCCCATCTGTACCAGAAATACAAAATTTAGCTGGGCGAGGTGTCATGCTCCTGTGGTCCCAGCTACCTGGGAGGCTGAGATGGGAAGACGCCTTGAAACCTGGGAGGCAGAGGTTGCAGTGAGCCATGATTGCGCCACTGCACTCCAGCCTGGGTGACAGAATGAGACCCCCTCTCAAATTAAAAAAAAACAAAACAATTATCTCATAGATTCTGAGGGTCAGGAATTCAGATAGAGCCCAGGGACAATGACTTTCCTCTGTTCTGGGATGTCTGGGGCTTCAGCTGGAAGACTCAAAGTCTTGGTGAGATAGACTTCAAGGTGGCCCAGTCACAAGGCTGGCATGGGTTCCTCGCTATGTGGGTGTCACCACAGGGCTGTGTGAGTGTCCACTTGACATAGTACTGGCTTCCCAGGCAGGTGATCCAAGAGGTCATGTTGGAAGTGGTGATGTCTTTTATGACATCTAACCTCAGAAGTCACAGACCCTTATTTCTGTAGTTTTCTGTTGGTCACAGGAGTCAACGTTGATTCAGTGTAACAGGGAATATGTATGGGTGATGTACTAGGAGGTAAGGAGTGTTGGGAGCCCTCTTGGAGGCCGGCTACCGCAATTAAATGGAATTTTTAATGAGAAGACTTTAACACAGTACCTGACACCAGAAAACCCTCAGTCAATCGTAATTGTTATTATTCTCTGACTTCTTAATTGCAATACGTGGTAGTTCCTTTTTACCTTTGATTTAAATTAGTGAAGGAAGGGTGAGAGCCCATGTCCAGTGGGCATTCTTTGGAGTACTGTTTGGCAGCACATCACTGACACAACCCAGGCAAGGTGCTGATATCCTTCTTCCTTTTCCTGAGCCCTGGAGCTGCTGCAGTGTATCTGACCTCCGTAGGGTCCTACCTCCAGCTCGTTAGCCTGGGCCCATTTCTGTCATTCAATATTTATCACAGGAGAATGGAGGTTAAAGAACGGCATGAAGTGTGCCTGAGTGTCTCTTTTAATTAACTTAAAAGGTCTTCCCATGTCGCTCCTCCCCTTGGAAACTGGTGTGCAAAATCATGATGTCTAGCCTTGAGGCTTGGGCAACATATTCAGGGAAAAGTGCTTTTATGAGTTTGTTATGGATATGATAGCTGTATAATTGCTGCTCTATCCTGACATACTGTGTTGAGTAGGAGTTGGAGGGTTAGTCCTAGAAATTTAACTCACTTCTTGTTGCATTGACAAACGTCTCCTGCATCTATTATTTGTTAGACATGGTGCTAAGCACTGAGAGTTTAGAAAAACATGGTTTGTGCCTCCTAAGATTAATAAAGCGGGTGAGGAATATATAAGCATCAAAGAAAACTTGACTGGGCAAGCATCTCCCTGCTAAAAGTTTCTCTGGGATCATGTGCATACATCTAGCCTCTGCTGCCTGGACATTGGCCCGTGATTTTTGCTTGCAGATTTGTTTCTTCCATTAGAAGCTCCTGCAGAACTGTTAAACAAATCCAAGCTTGGGCCTTCCTTTAGGTTTTGGTGTGGAGTGGGGCTAAGGCAGTGGGATTTCATCAGAATTCCCCAGGTGATTCTAACATGTAGTATGTAGTAAATGCTCAATAAATTCTGATTGAATAAATAGATGAGCAAACTCTGTAATAAAAGCAAACCTGTGTCATTTCCATGGTAGAGGACGCTTAGTGTGTGTCAAGCATTTTGCCACACTTTCATGTGTATTATCTTATCGCCAGTGTTCCAGTGAGTTAATAACTACAGTTATTATCTTCATGTTATAGATGAGGAAATGAAAGCAAAGTTAAGTCACCTGCCCAAAGTCACACCATTTACCAGGGACTGAC